GTGTTTACCATAAAGGTACGTATACACTAAACGAACGAACGGTGAATGAACGGTGAACAGTGAATTGGGCAAATGTGCACAGCAAGTACGAACCGAATGTCCGTTCGATTTATTTCCGATCCGGTTCGCTCATGAAGAGAGTTTTTTGCATCAAGAAATGGATACACACTTCAATGTTCGTTTGTTCTTCGTTCGCTCGGTGTATACGCACCTTAAGGCAGCGAATCACCGAATAGGTTACTTAATTCGCGCCCCGAGGCGGTCGCGATATTTGGATATGAGACGGCGAACGTACGATTTCCGCTTCGGACGCGCGTTTCCTCGAAGCAGCCTTTAAAGATCCGAGGAGGTCTACGCAGATTGACTCAGCTCTGAAAGAAGAAGGAGAGGAGGAGAGAGAGAGAGAGAGAGAGAGAGAGAGAGAGAGAAAGATGCATAAAAACACTCGTCTCGCCTCAGATCTCGTTTCACCTCAAGGTAGACAGAGACACGGAACGACGGAGAGAACGAAAGAGAGAGACAGGGAAAAAGAGAAAGAGAAAAAGTGAACGGGGAAGGAGAGAGAAGCGAGGGACATGCAGGAAGTGGTACAGCATTGCCGCAGGGAAGGACGCCGAATCTGGGCCACAATTATACCGGCCGATGTGTTGCACCCCTCACCTTTCCTCCTAGCGCGCGCGCGCGCGCGCGATTACACATATACTCTCGCTTTCGAAATAATAATTATTTAATACCCGAAGCGCGCGCGCGAGAGCGTCACCGGTGAAATGCGGGTCCCGGGCGTAGGAAGAGAGGAGAAAGAGAGTGACCACTGTGCGGCTCCCCACTTCGGCCCATCTCTCTTCCGAGAGCTCAGAGCGGCGATACGCACTGCGGATTTTTAAAAGAGGCGAAACAGCGCTGCCGCTCGATCGATACGCGACGCCTCGGGCTTGTCTACCGCTAACTATACCTGGATCACCGTCGACATCCGCGAGAGGATGAATAATTTCGTGAACGTCTGAAAGAGGACGGGAGAGAGTGGGAAGGACACAGGAAAAAATTAACAGCATGATATTCGAAATCATAATACGGCGAGAGATCCTGGAAGTATGGAGCCTGAGAGCAGGCCTCACACACACACGCACATACACATACACACACACAGGTCCAAAGTTCCGCGAGATCCGCTCGAGTTGAAGCAAAGAACTTGAAAATATACGAGTCATAGGCGCGAGACAGGTAGATAAACAGGACGAACATGTCGAAGCAGGACAAGCGCTAGTCGGAGAGAGGCACTCTCTCAGAGGCACTGAGTTTAATTTATATAAGACCTTTCTTTCGTATTGTTCGATCTTCCCACGAGGCACTGAGGCTTTTCACTCAATCTTCGCGTTCGCTGTTATTTATACGCTCTGATGTGTCAGTCTCGTTAAACCTCCGATAATTTTTCTCCCTTTCAATTTCTATGATATCAGCGTAAACGGGAGCGCGACAAAGGTACGAAGGACGAAGGACGATCGTTGGCGAGCGAACGCGACGAGTCCGCGGGAGCCTGCCTCAAAGATACTCATTACCGAAGTAGAGAAAAGCGGTCGTGCAACGGCAACGGAAAGCTGATCAATGGAGCGGCCCGAAGCACGAGAGTGCGAGCGGGCGACTCGAAATGACACGCGGCATAAATACACACGCGTTTCGGAATCGCGACAATCACGGCAAAAGCGGATAATACCGTCGCTTGACGCGCGCTCACTTGCGCGTGACTCATTGAACGGCCGACCCATCGCCGGTCGCCGATGATGGGAAAGGCCTCGTCGTGCCTGTCGCACATGCGAACGGTGCGCTCTCCGCAGCTGCCCGCGAGGAATGCAGAAAATAGCGTGCGACATTCCGCGCGGTGCTGGCCGTGTTCCGCTGTTCCATAACAAGTTTCGCGAATTACCCTCGCTCTTCCCGCCGCGCATTCCGCCTCACCTCCGCGCCTCGGGACACGTGACGGTTAATCGAAAATTTCATCTCTCGCGCCAGCCACGATCTCCGGGCTCTCGCGTCTCTCCCGTTCGCGACCCGATTACCACAACATTGTGAGGAGAAAGAGAGAGGTGAGAGCCTGAATCTCCTCTTTCTCTCTGCGTTATTACGGCGTTATCGATCTTTTCGTAGCAAAAGTAGCCTCAAGACTCCTGACAGATCACGTGAGAGGATTAAAGATCCCCGACGGGAGAATCTGCACGAGGCGATCCGTCCGCGAAATATGTTAATTCCGCCGCTGTGTGGATCCATTTTACTTTACGGCTGCCTAACGCGATATTGGCTCCCGCGGAGTAAATATAATAATACCGCGCTTTCTCGCTCGCGCGCCGCCGCGGCGCGCCTCGCTGGAGCCCGAAGCGACAGGATTTTAATGCGACCCGCTTGTTTACCGGAGAGCTGGCCACTTTAAACGGCCGACCGGTTGACACAAAATGTCGCGTACGTTTTCGAGGTGCGTTTTGCGCCGCACAAGGTGACGGCACGCGGTGAAAGCACGATTATCGGTGCCGCGATAACGTTCGCGTTAACGAGAGCGTTATCTATTGTCACCTGTCACCTGGCGCCGTGAATCGGTCCCTCGAGTGCGTCACACACGTGACATTCTAGACGTCCAGGATCAAGCGGGCAGGACACAGCCGCGCGAATGGCACAACTTGGTCGCGGCTCGTTTACGTAAGTCAACGACGGTTGGAAAAATCACTCTGCGTTAGATCTGCAAAGACACAATAGCGCGCGATTTTGCTACATCGATGCAATAATTTGTTGTTTAACCCTTTCACTGCTGAATTAACTTCCCTTGAGAAAATTATCAAAATATTTGGCAGTCTTAGATTTTTTAGGTCGCTGATTACGAATCTAAAGTCAGATTTGCAAAATTCAAAATGGCGGGCTCAATATGGCGATCGTGATGTACAGAATTAATGGAAATTTCAATTATTATTAAATAATGACCAGGTCATAATAAGAACATATGATTCTAGACGATGGAACTCGATTGAGAGCTGGAAAAAATTGATGTGGGAAAAATGTTTAATACTGCATATTTATGCTTACTAGAGATTGAACATTCATTTTTGAGTAAAATAATATTGATAGTATGGATAAGATGGAGATACAGAATGAAAAGACTAGGAAAATAGAGAAAATACCAAAAAGTGCATAAAAATCAAATTTCGGCCGTTTTTGTAGAAATATTTGTTTATAAAAAGAAATCTAACCTGCCGAAAGATACTGAGAAAAATATTAGTTTTTGTACAACATCAGAAAAATATTTGGTGAAAATTTCAGACCTCTACATTCAATACTCTCCGAGGAATCGATTTTTCCCTAAAAAAGGCATTTTTTTCAGCTTTGATTTGTTATAAATAATCACATTGTTATAAATGAGTAATTGGGTGTAAAAACCTATCGGAGTATGTTGAACAACTATTCAGTTATCTGGAAAACTCAAATCCCCGATTAGTTCTTCAAAATTATGTGAGTTACAACGCAAAATTGAATCAAGAAAAGGCGGGAAGTATAATACTTCTCACTAACAGTGAAAGGGTTAAACTTGGCAAAATTGATTGTTCATTTGAATTTCTCGTTTACGTAAAACATCTAATGGCATCCAGACGTTACAACGTCCATTATGTCACCGACGTGTTCAGCTACGCGTCTACGCAAGTCTGTCTTCCTCTTCCTCGTTCTAGCGTTGCCGGTGTGTTATTATGTAGCACACGCGCTACGAATCGTGGCGCGAATAATGCAGGTTACACACATGTTCATCGCGCGATTGCGAGGACGTCGATTCGGCAGACGAAACTCGCGAGTGACCGCGGGAAGAATGTCCGCGCGACAGCCGCTGATTCATCTCGCGCGATGTTCCTTTCAAGCAGGAATATCATCGGAAGAGCTGGACGTTGTGTAAAATTATATTTCGTCGTCGCGCTCGCGAAGTCCTTCAAACGACAATGGGATTTTCCGTGAAGATCGATTCCGCCGTTACCCCGTCCCGTCCGGACTGATCCGCGACCAAAGGATTACGTAAGGCGGCAAATATGTTCGTCAAGTCGCTTCGTCCTCAAGAGGCAATTTGTCCATCGAACGTCTCGGAGGCAAAGTGTTCCTCGGAAACGGCGCGTCATTCCCGCGGGCAAATTAAAAGAAACGTCCGTTCCTTTCCCGCGTGCATTGACTTTCCAAGACGAGCTTAACCGGTCGTCACGAAACGCGGACGACCTTCTCGATGAAAAAAAGAAAAAGAGAGAGAGAGAGAGAGAGAGAGAGAAAAACAAGACGATTAAACTGATCATAACTTTGGAAGCGGGAGAGTTCGTCGAAGCTCCTTCGTATCCCGAAAGAGATATCTGATAGTGCTTAAATTTTAGTTTAGTTTCAACTTTAGCAATTTTTGAATAATTAGGCGGTAAAATATCAGTTGCAACACGACAGCCTCGAGTTTTGGTCTCCTTTCACAAGAAATTGCAAAATATAATATAAAAAATTTACCAAACATTGGCAGCCATTAATTTTGCAATATTCATGGCTTCCAATAAAGTAAACGTTATTATTATTGTGGTTATTGTTACCGCGTCAGGCAATCCTTCAAAATTCCAGCGCTGCTTTTCCATTTAGCGATCCTTCAATCCTCGATGTGCGGCTTGCTCAATGTACACGATAAATCATCAATATTTATTCGTCGGTTTCACCGTGCGTTGATTCCGAGCGCAATATCTCAGTTTCGCGATCATCGCCGATACGATTAATTATAGCGTAACGCCAGCGTAACAATTTTCTCGCAGGTGAGTAACGTACGCGGAGAAACGAAGCGAGTAAAGATTCGCAACAACGAGTAGGCAGAGCAGATTCAACGATGCGATGGAGGCATCAGCAGGCATCTGCAAGCGCTAATATGTTTCGATTTTCATCGTCTCGCGAGCGATACGCCTGTACGCGCTAATCCATCCTCCCGGTCTATCCCCCTTTAATCATTCTCATTTTTGCAGGACGAGGAGCAGCGGCATGAACGGACGAGGAGTCGGCGACGGCGAAGGACCACTGTTCCTGCTCCTCATCGCATTGACTCCTGTTATCTGCTCGGCCGGAATCCTGGACCCTTGGCAATGGGCGCGCAGCGATCGGATCGAAGTCAACATACCTTGGCTGCCTTGTAATTATCAACGCGCTGCCCTGACGAGCGGATCGTGGAAAATCCGATCGCGATGATCGTTGCCCGATAAATCTATACGTTGCGATTTTCCGAACTTTCTTTAAGAATTTACGCGTCGTTGCGTTGCCGCGGTATTATTATCCACCTCCATTCGATCCGCCTCCACGATCGATTTGGCGATAACTCAATGACAGTTATTTTAGTCGAGAACGAGACTCGCTGCTACGACGAGCTGGGCTGCCTGAACATCACCAGGAACTGGTACCACCTCATCCATCGGCCGCTCAACGTCTTCCCGTTGCCGCGAGAAGTCATCAATACCAGGTTCATCCTCTACACCCATCAGAACCCCCTCGAAGTGAGTGAATCATCGAGAATCGATGCGTGTACGGGCATCGCGCGAAAGTGAAACCTCGACAAGCAGATTGAAATTCCTCCGCGGCTGATAATCGATACGCGGCGCGAATATTTCCGCGTACATAATCGCGCACATCTGTGGTAACGGTCCGCTAACGCGGCCAGCGCGGCGAGGATTTCATCTCGCGACAAGGGTAATTAGACAGAGGCAATAAGCCGGAGTATCGCTACTCCGCGATCGCAACTCCGCTCTCTTAACAGCCGTGTTTTATGCCCACGGCTATCTTAATTGACCCGATTAATTAAACCGCGAAACCGCGTTCCGCGGCCGGTGAAGGCGCGCGCGCGAGCTCTCATGGGACGCGAGCTCATGAGCGTGAGTTTCGCGGCGGAAGATAAGATCGCTGATTTGCAGTCTATTGCAGCTATCTCAGAAGGAAACCCGTGCGCGGAGAGACGTACCGGATACGGTATCGGCGGCGTAACGCGGCGGTGAAACCACGTGTCTCCGTCGCATAACATCGCGCGGAGCCGCTGAGTCGTGAAATGAACGTCGACATTTTTGCGCTTCTACGGCCGGCGTGCCAACGAGGTTGCGACGAGGTGTTTTAAGCGCGTTTTAAGAGATACCGCGAAAGGTTTTAAGAAAGAGAGAGAGAGAGAGAGAAGGGGAGAAAGAGAGATCAATGTATCACTGGACCTCAAAACAATGGCTTGAACGCTTTTTCTCGACGCCGTCGGGAACACAGCCGACGGTACACTCAAAGAACGTATCGAGTTCTCTCATTGAACATCCGCTGAGCTCCCGAGCCGCAAAAAGTGCAAAAAGAGACTCAAACCGTTTCGAAAGTGCCAGTGCGTGTCTGATCGGATAGACGCGTGACTCTTAATCACGTTAGCATTCGCCGACCTTCCGCGTTCTTTCGCGTCTGCAATATCGAGAATGTCGACGTCATTTCCATACACGAAATATGAGCTCATTGTGAAGCTCGTACGAGCTCCTCTCATCGACTCCTCATTAATTGTGTTGCGTAATTTGTACACTCGGTAAACGCGCGCCCGTCGTTGCTTCCAGGGTCAGGTGTTGAAAGTAGCCAAGGACAAGTCCATCGAGCACTCGAACTTTAACCCCAAGCGTAAAACTAAATTTATCATACACGGCTTCATCGACACGCCTCTCAGCAACTGGGTGAAGGTAAGTTCAACTATTCTTACATTTCAATACCCGCTCGTTTTTATCGTACTCTCACGCCGCGAGCGATGAGCGAACGATCGCTCATCGCTCGGTCGAATAAGTCGGCAGAGAAAAGCCAATTTCATCTTCTCTCTCTCTCTCTCTCTCTCTCTCTCTCTCTCTCTCTCTCTCTCTCTCTCTCTCTCTCTCTCTCGGGGTTCATTGTTTTCGCGGCCGAAGATAAAGATACGTCCGACGACAGCTGCGTGTAGCTCTCGAGCGAGACAGGATATCGCATACACACATGTATCCTCGTAACGTTCACGGCCCGCAGGAGATGAGAAGCGAGCTGTTGGTACACGACGACTACAACGTTATCGTGGTCGACTGGGCAGGTGGGAGTCTACCTTTGTACACCCAAGCGACGGCGAACACGAGACTGGTCGGCCTGGAGTTGGCTCATCTCATTAAACATTTGCAAGTAAGAGAAGAGAATATCCTCCAGCTAAAGCAAACTCAAAGATTCGTCGTCGAGTAAATACGGGCAACAGGCGAGCTGGCGAGCACCGAACGTAATCGATCGAGCGCGTAATCCTTTGCTTCTTCATTCGCTTCAGCATTACGCTCGATTGCCTCTCCGCGACTACCTCTTACCGAAGCGTTATTTATTCCTCTTTCTATGTATCTGCAGATTAGCCTAGAGTTATTTTCACATTCCCCCTTATGCGCTCCGCTCACGTCGTTTCCTCAATAAAATAGACCAATTACGGCTTGGAGCCGAACGACGTGCACCTGATCGGCCACAGCCTCGGCGCGCACACGGCCGGTTACGCGGGCGAGAAACTGGGCGGCAATATCGGCCGCATCACCGGCTTGGATCCCGCGGAGCCGTACTTCCAGGGGATGCCGAGCCACCTTCGACTGGACTACACGGACGCCCGGCTGGTGGACGTGATACACACCGACGGCAAGAGCATTTTCTTTTTAGGTAAGCGACGTAACGATTAGCAATCGGTCGCGACACACAATTAGCAGCAGCAGCTCCGAGTATTTCTTGACCTGAAGAAGTCGAAGCTGAGAAAGAGCTGGAGCAAGGGCAGGCAGCGTGGAGCTCCACTAACTACTCTTTCGACGGAAGCTACAACGCTGACTGAGAATTGACTTAAAATTCGGAGTGCACCGCTGCCGGCGTTCCTGCGGAGCGCGCGGACGGTGGACGCGACGATGGAGCTCCGCGGCTGCTCCGTGAATCACGTGGTCCGGACTAATGTAGTACACGACAAGGCCTTCCAGGGTACGGGATGAGCCAGCCGTGCGGCCACTTGGACTTCTACCCGAACAACGGCAAGGAGCAGCCCGGATGCACCGATCTGAGCGAGACCACGCCGTCGTTGCCGCTGACCTTGATACGCGAAGGCCTCGAGGAGGCGTCGCGCGTCCTGGTCGCCTGCAACCACGTGCGCGCGCTGAAGCTCTTCGTCGAGAGCATCAACTCCAAGTGCCAGTACGTGGCGCACGAGTGCTCGAGCTACGCCAGCTTCCTGCGCGGCGAGTGCTTCTCCTGCAAGAGCAACAACAGCCTGAGCTGCGGCGTCATGGGCTACCACGCGGACACCAGCCCGGCGTTGGTCAAGCGCCAGGCGATGGGACAGGACGTCTCGACCCTGCTGGGCTCCAAGTTCTTCTTCATCACCGGCAAGGAGGACCCGTACTGCAGTGAGTCTCTCGATCCCGATCTGAAGAAAGTGCGCGCGTAGTCTGCGACACCCGCAAGTTGCCTTTGTGATAGAAGATGCTGATATTAATGAATGCAATTAACACGATCTGTCGACGACAATCAACCGCGACGAGAAACTCGCGTCGTAATTAGAAGCATCAACGACGGGGCCCGTTAAGGTCAAGCAACCCACTTAGAAACCCGCGAGGTCCAAGTACGAACCAAGACCGAGCAAACTCGTTTTCCGATCTAGGCAGCGCCAAGAGAGACGAGTCTCCAGAGTCTCGAGTACCTGTAACGCTATTTCTTGCGCATTAGCGTGGGATATGTAATTTCAGCCGCGGCATAATCCGCCGATACGCTACGTGAAGTCGCGTTAGCGCGCGGCAGTTTCGTATCGACGTATCGGAATTCAAGTGTAAGCGGTAAATGCCAACTTTCCCGATACCATGAGTACCATTTCGAGCACGAGCGCAAACGCGAGCGGCCGTTAGCTTTCCATCACAATGTCTCGTGGTACTTTTACGACGTCGGCATTACGACATCGTAAAAGCGACGAGACCAATGCGCGAGCGCTCGCCGTCGATACGTAAACGTCGCGTCCGATCGACGTGGACTCGATCAATTCGCCGTTGCATTCCGTTAATCAGTTATTGTCGACGCGAGGGAAAAAGGAACGGTCGGGAATACAGCGAGCCGTCGTGTTTCACTGCGAGCGCCAGCTCAACTTTTCTCTATCGAGACGCAACTTTCTCCGCATGCGCGCGCGCGCGCTCGCTCGCTCGCTCGCTTGCGTGATAAAATACTCTCTCTCTCTCTCTCTCTCTCTTTCTCTCTCTCTCTCTCTATCTATCTATCTATCTCTTTCTCCCTCTACGACCTCGAAAAGGATTCTGATATCGATCATAATCACCTTGCAGGAAGGCATTACAGGATCACCATCAACCTCGCACGTCCGACTACCGCGGAGAGCTGGGTGCAGGGCTTCATGAAAGTCACTCTCCACGCCGACAACGGCGTCATACGCAACATGGATCTAACGCCCAGGCAAGTGCAAGCCCTGGCAGCGTCTGTCGGCCTCGATAACCCACATACGCGCCTCGCCTGCTAGATGAAACCGCGTTTTCACGTCTCGCGAACACGTAGCGTGAGTTGGAAGACTCCGATAAGAAATCGCTCGTCCGCTCAGAAATCGATCGTCGGCCGCGTTCTGTGCGCCGAAATTCATTGAAAAGAATTAGGAGGAAAGTTATTGGAGAGAGTTAAAATTAAAAAATTAGGTTAATTTCATTAGTTCCGCGCGTTTGAGAAACTGCATAAATCAGTCGAGATTGAGGAAAAATGCAGCACGCAGCTCACGAGGCACGGCGCAGCTAAATGACAGGGAGGACTCGGCGACGAAGTATATACATGCGGTATATGCGTACGTTAGGCGAAAGTTTGCACATTACTCAAGAGGAGACTTAAGTCGCAAGAAAGATTTCTATGCTTCCTTAAGATCATCGAGAAAATTTCTCGACGCTATCAAGTGTGAAAGATACATTAACGAATTTTTCCAGAAATTTCACAGTGCGGTGGAATATTGCGACTTGGCAGTAAACAAATCGACAGTGAATCCACATTTATGCATGTGTTTGAAGCTCATAAGATATTGTCGTTAATATTTCTCGCTCCCTCGTAGAAATTCGAAAGAAAATTGCGCTTACAAACACCCTAAGCAAAAAATTGAAAGAAAAACCTGATGTAATTCAAAATAACTCGAAGCACACACTAAGAATTTGCCCGAAAGATTTCGCCCAAAAGCGAAATAACTAAATTTCTCATCGTCGTGCTCTATCCACTGATAAAAATCGCTCGGAAATATTATTGAATATAATACATCGCGATGCAAAAGTGCAGCGTCATCAAGTCCATGACGTGCAAATGCCAATAAGCGGGATCTAATCTAGACGCAAAACAGCTAATTTTCGCGAAACACGCATCGTCATGGCTTTACGCGTTTCCGAGATATCAATTACAGAATTTCAAGCGAGCGAACGGCCGCGTGGCCGAGCACGTGTTCGAGCACGTGCTCGACTGAGCGTGTCTGCTGTCTCGCTCGCGCGCTCAATGAATGGGAGACGAACCACGTGACTCAATCGGCGTCATTCGCTCCTTCTCGCTTTCGCTTATACGTAGCGTAAGCGAGCAGGTGGTACTGACCTTGCTGAACTAACGACGAGATTGACGACGACCCGACACGATCGTCGATATTTTTGCTTCCCGACGCCGTACACTAGGAAAAAGAATTTAGTATCTCTAACAAAACTGTTTAGTTGAGGCATTTTTTAATAGCAACCAAATATCTTGTTTTATATAACAAAATATTTAGTTGTCTCAACTAAATATATCTTTCTGCTTTGTTCTCTGGACCAAAAATGATTTTGTTCTTAGACTTCATATATAAAAATTAAGCATTTTAGTTATTTTATCCATAAAAATTACATAATAACGAAATATTATTTTACATAAACTAAAATAATGCCCGATGGATACTATTTTGTCTTTCCGTGCACTAAAATTTAGATTTTATATATTAAGAAGAAATTATAGTATTTTTAACAATTATAGTATTTTTAACAAAATTCATATAGTTACAGCTTTTTGGCTTTCCTATAACAAAAATATTACGTTATACGAACAAACCGTAATCAAATAAGATATTTGTTTACAGGAACGAAACAGTTTTGTTGGGCATATTTTAACCAAATTATTTTGTTGTTACAACAAAATTTTGGTTCACGCAACAATACATTTTTCCTAGTGTAGAGACTTCGGAGAGGATTCGTTGAAAAGTTGAAATTCTCGCGCATCCGATTAACGAGCAAGTGATTCTTTTAACCTTTTAATTTTGCTTATTAAAGTGGAATGAAAGGTGATGATGTGTCACCGTGAGATTAAAATATCGACAGGTGGAGTAGATCCTGGAAGCAAAGTAACGAATTTTCTTGTAGTCCTGGTTGGTGCAGCTTCACTCATTCCCGAGATGTTGGCTACCAAGGCTTCTGATAGATCTAAGAAAAAGTGACACTTTTAACGGACGAATACAACTAACTTTCATGCAATCTTCATCTTCATCCGCTTATTAGTGAGATATTGACTGCGAAAGATTGTAATAGGTCGATGAAGACATACATAGGCGCGGTTCCTCTTGTTCTCAGTGGTTACATGAAATTGGAGCACGGCTCGACGGCGCGAATGGTCGTGGCCCATCCGACCGGTTCTATTGGCAACCTCGGTAAGGTCAGGCGAGTTGAACTCTCCTGGGTGTACGACATGGACGTGCTGCAACCTCGTTCTCTGTGCTTCTTCTGGTGCAACGATCACCTTTACGTCAACAGCGTCTCCGTGGACGCCATGGACCTGCCGGGAAGAGGGTAAGAAGCGAATACGTGGTCGAGTCGAATTCCACGACAGGTCTGTCTGGCCCGACCGAGTCCGTCATTATTCGAACAGCTCGCGAAGAAGCTCGGCAGTCGCAGTCGATGTCTGCGACGTTTATAATCTCTCCCGCTTGTGCAGGAAACGAGAGGCGGATTTCTCCAGCAAGCTCTGCTCGGCCGGCAGACAGGAGTACGCGGAAATCGCGAGCGGATCCACCGCCTCGTTCGTCGACAATTGCTGACGATCCGTCCGGGAGAGCGCCGTAATGCGGATGAAGCGCGCTCGGAGACGTCGTCTCGACCCTGTGTCGTCTCGATAATTACGAAACTGCGCCAACAGCTGCCTCTGAGAGGGTCCATCCGGTGGTTCTCGAAAGTCGGACGATGATTAAGCGAAGCATGCGCTCGCCCGAGGAATAGTCCGGGATCGCGGAGCCTCGTCGTAATAATCTCGTCGTCGTAATTCCTTTCGCTAATGATACGACGGGGAGGCGAGGGTTTCATGTGTTTGACTTTCTTCCTATTTGTCGCAACCGAGCGTCACTTTCTTCACAAACACAGTCCGATACGACGGCGGCTCGCTAATTGGCAGAGTCTCAGCGCAAGACCGGACTTGTGGGACCCAGCAGAAAGAAACGACCGCCAACTTATGCGGACGGACGACGGCGGATTGGATGAGAGCGAAGCGCCGCTTCGCACGGACACTTACACGAGTTCCTAAAGAGATCTGTCCACGCATTCGGCGAAAATGAAATCCCCGACCGCGCCGCTCCCGACGCGTGACGATTGCGGAAGAGTTCGTAGGAGACGAAACTTTCGGCGACTCGTCTGACTCGTTAGACGCGAAATTGAAAGCCAACGGAGAATCGGCCCGACCTTTCTCGGCTACTCCCGACGAATGATTTCTTCTTCAGTATTACATATCGTTCGATTTGCTACATGTACATCTTGTATATAATGTCAGATGTTAACGTTAAGGCTCCAATCTCTCTTTCGGATGTGATTGGATCGCGGATTTGCAGTGATCGTTACTTTGTAAGGTACTCCTTATTAAGCCATTAATGCATATATTACACGTCGATACATACATATCCTTTTTTTTTACGATGATTTTTCTTACTATCGTGTATCGCCTCACGCGACACGAATATGATAATAGCTTGTGATATTCTCTCGTTAAGAATTCTGCGTGAAGAAGTGCGCGCAGAACGCGGTGACTCGAGGGGGCGAGCGACTGTATCGTTGTTTGCTCGCAGTCCTTGCGTCAATGAAATGTACAAAATACGCCCAATGTGGAAAGAGAATCCGTCGCTAAGTGATAAGAGATCACGTACCGCGACCTGTACCATACCAGTTTGAGTGTGAATTGTTGCGATGTGAAATAAAATTCATCCGCAAAAAGACGACGACATTTGCTTATGATTAAAAAATAGCACGATACTTTATTGAACGGTTCAAGCATGCATTTTATATATAAGTATGCAAAAAAGCAAGCGCTGGGTCTCCCTTCTCGAAGCTACGATACTTTGGTCACGAGACACCGATCCGTCTTCATCCGTGAGATCGATCAGGGCGGAAAGAGCGATCACTCGATCGACGAGCCGGTCCGATCGGCCCATCTGACTCGTCGCGCGATCTCAAAGTTCCCTCCGTGAATCCCGTAAAGATGCCTCGCCAATATCTCGGCTCGGTCCTCCTCGGCCTCTACAGCCATTCGTTTGTAGCGGCGGACCGCCAGGAGGCAGCCAACGGTCAGTGCAATCTGGATGATTAGCCAGAAAATCAAGAGACCCAGAGCCAAACCCGCGTCCACGCAGAAGAGGCCGTCTATGGATCCTGAGAAAAAACGATCGCCGTTAGCGTGCCGCACTTCCGTCTTGAAATCTGTCGAGCGCACGAAAACGTGACTCACTTTCGCCGGCGATTAGCAGGGTGTCAGGGATTCCATTATCTCTGGACACCAAGTAGTCTGCCGTTATCACGGGACTTTGAACAACGATGGACAGCTGCAGTGGCATGTCGGTGGGCGTGAGGTTCTTGAACATTTCCGTCACCTCGTCGGCGACCGTCGTCTCCTCGGTCGATCGTCGTCTCCTGCCGTATGAGATCTGCCCTCCTCTGCATACGGTCTTCGAATGAATCACGAATTTGTTACCATACTAGCATCCCTTTCCTTAATACTAATTATTCCTAATACTGATCGTGATTCATAAATTGCAAGTCTAACGCAAGTCTAATCACGATCTGAGACACGAAGAGACACCACGTTGGAGAAAACGCCGGGAAAGGTGGAAAATGCGAGAGCTGCCTACTTACCGGCTTACACTCCTTGAAACAGAATCTAACGATGACGTTGAATCGAACAATCTGGCTGTCAGGAAACTTGAAGGCAGTGAATGTTGCGATCAGGGAGCGATTGTCCGTTGGATCTTTCAACAGTGCGGGGAACGTCGCCGGATCCGTCGGGCATCCGACTTGGTCAAGAAGAAGATAAGAAGAGTCCCCGGATGCGCTACTAGCTACGAGATGTCCGGCGATGATATCGTAAGGACCTGTTGAGCCGATAAATCATTTTATTCTTTCAGGGCATTTCGTTCACACGATTTTTACACGTATTTTACGCGTATTTGTCAGCGGAAGATCAAATTTTGCGCCCCTTGCAACCAAGGAATTTGTAGACGAAGCGAAAGGCGTATCGTTTGCCGCCAAGGAAATAATTTTGGGCTCTTTAGCCAATCGCTACGAATCACGGGTATTCGTGCACGTTTGGCTAAAAAATGCTGAAACCACTCTCCTTTCGTTTCAATCGAATGGCCGCGTGACCCACCGTTCGCAGGCTGGATTTCTATCCTGAGCGTAAGCTTTTGTCCCAATTGCGTGACGATCGCGTCCTTATTTTCCTCGTTGAGGATTCTCATTGTCACTATTGGCACCTCCGACGACACATTCACCACGGTTGACGCAATCGGCGGTATGCCTGCGCTAGAAACAGCAATCGGAATCGGGATATCGAGAGAATATATTCGCTATAGCGTGCCTCGCAAAACCTCGGCGGTGTAACATAAGCGCAATGAAATCGTAATTAAAAGATGAACATGTCGGTCGTTTAGCCAGAGATGATACGCTAAACGGGACTTGTTTCACAGACTCACTTTGGGTCCAAGAAGGAAAAACTCGAGTGAACAGATACATTCCTCGGCTCTGGAACCTCGCAGTCGTCCAACGAGCATCCGACTTTCACCGACTGATCACCTAATCGTTGAATGATCGGATTGTACTGTATCACAATAATGGCCCATACCAGCGTGTGCGTTCTGCAAACGAGAAGGGGCTTCGTGAAACGGACCGCGAATTATTGGTAAATATTTGCTACTTCGCCACGCGTGGCTTTTTCTTTCGTGGCGTTTTATTCGAGCGTTCGGTTACCTATTTTGCTTATCGATAGAGAAGGCGGGCGTGAGACCGCACATCTTGTCGGATCCGCTGAGGTGTTCCACACTCGGCAGCGATATTTTCAATATAGTCACTTTTCTCCCGTCGCCATGAACACCGCAGGTCTCCGCGTGGCCATTCACGTACATCCTTCCCTCGAAGGGTTCCGCGGTGGTCAGTATCACCATCATGATCGAATCTTGGCATTGCACTCTCACTGCGAAACATCGCGAACGTGGCAAGGTTCGACTCTTCCGTTTGTGCGTTAAGGCTCTTTCGGTTCCTCGCCGTGGAACTTTTCATTAACGACGCCAGAAACGAGGAAACGCATCCTCGAAATTCTTACGCGGCGTTTCCGAATAAGAACAAATATCTGTTTGAAGAGGAACACTTCAGGTCGCTAAAGTTTATTTGTAAAATACTCCGAAGCCTACACTAGGAAAAAGAATTTAGTAGCTCTAACAAAACTGTTTAGTTGAGGCATTTTTTAATAGCAACCAAATATCTTGTTTAATATAACAAAATATTTAGTTGTCTCAACTAAATATATTTTTCTGCTTTGTTCTCTGGACCAAAAATGATTTTGTTCTTAGACTTCATGTATGAAAATTAAGCATTTTAGTTATTTTATCCATAAAAATTACATAATAACGAAATATTATTTTACATAAACTAAAATAATGCCCGATGGATACTATTTTGTCTTTCCGTGCACTAAAATTTAGATTTTATATATTAAGAAAAAATTGTAGTATTTTTAACAAAATTCGTGTAGTTAAAAATTTTTGGTTGCTATAACAAAAGTATTACGTTACACGAACAAACCGTAATCAAACAAATTATTTGTTTACAGGAACGAAACAGTTTTGTTGGGCGTATTATAACCAAATTATTTTCTTGTTACAACAAAATTTTGGTTCACGCAACAATACATTTTTCCTATGTGTATGCCTCTCCCTTGAGAATCAATCAACAGCAGTAAAATGGCTGTCGTAACGCTTGACTGTACGGAATGATTGCGCGTGCGAGGCCTCACATTACAGTGATTTTACACTTGTTGATTGACCATCAAGAGAGAATGAGACGCTAATGGTCGGAGCATTTTACGCTCCAGCGATCTGAAGAATTCGCGAACATCTTTTTATTTGGAAATGACACGCGAGACTGTTCAGCGTGTCGCGAGCATCCAGGAGCCTTAATACAAGATCTCTCGCCAACATACGATCTATGCAGGCCTCCCGTTCCTTGTAGATCACGTTGCGCATAGGAATCAGCGAACTGACTCCGAGAGCGATCGTGTCGTCCGAGTGCAGCTGACAAACCGTCTTCTTCCTGTCGTTGTGGTCAACGGTGTAGGCCCTGCAGATGAAACCGTCCATGCCGCGATCGCACCTCTCTTCGCACTAAAAAAGAACGATCGGATGAGTGATCGGCTCGCTCACGAGCGAGCCGATGCCGTTAGGGAATATAAGAGATACCCGTTTATCGTCGAGTCCCGGTAGCGCAACGTCCGAATATGGCAATGTTACGTTCCGAAATTCCGCGTAGGAACAATAGCTCCTCTTTGCTGCAGAACATACGAAACTCGACTCAATGCAGATGAAACTCATGAACGCTGCGGAGGGAGGCTTTCGGTGTCATGTGCGTACGGCTAACATTCCACATAACTCTCATGTGCGAAACAATGGATTCATATATACAATTGCTCTCTTGCAAAGCCAGTCTCTGCAAAGCATGCGGCACAGGCAGGATGAACGAAATTTTCAGAGAGTTCAGCTGTATCCTAAAGTCGTCCATGCTGCTCTTGTAGCTCCCTTTAGCTGTGTAACAAGAGGCAGTTCGGCTTATAGAGACTTACATATGTTATGGCACTGAGACTGCAGATATTCATCCCGATACATGGACGTTCCGTAGGCCTGCGGCTTGGTGCCCCTCTCGAGCCTCGATAGCCAACACGTGCCGACGGAGTCGTTGGTCGACAGAGGCTGACTCGTGCGGAATTGCGCGGACCCGCAGCCGTCGCCTGGGAAAATTCGTTTTACACTCGATCGCCTCTCGCTCTGGCGAGCCTCAATGGTGTTGTTTAGGATCAGCCAACTCGTCGATACGATTGACGATCGACAATCTCGCGCTAACGCTGCAAACCCGAGTGTGTTATTTGGAGACGTGTATAAGCTGAAGCTTCCTTTACGCGTATCTTGTCTTGTCTGAAATCACGTCGTTTAAACGCGTTAAGTGATATCGAAATGCATCAAATCACGTGACTTCGGACGACAAAAAAGTGTCAAAATAACACACTCGGGTTTGCAGTGAACCCTCGACACCTTGGGACACGTACCCGCTTTCAAACACTCCTCGTAACATTGGCTTCTCCGTAAGGACGTGTTATAGACCAGGGCGTGTTCATCCTTCAAAATAGCTCCCAAGGTTCTCTCCACTTGCCACAACCTCTCTTGCTTGCAGCTGGCAGGAGCTCGAATACGAAGCAGAGAGCTTTCAGAAACGTATTGCGAATTCACGCGAAGACGCGCGGAGGACGCGAAACGGACGAGGACGAGGACTTTGGCTCACTTTGAGAGAGCATCACACCTTGCATCTTGCTTCTACGTGATAACTTGAAAGCTTGACTAAGATACCCTTTGGGTGCTCGTCCCCTGGTACTCTTCAATGGACACGCGCTGTAGCGAAAATTAGTTTCATAGGAGTCTTACCTCTAACGCAGATCTTATGAAAGAAAGTAGCGTTAGCCTCGGGAACGAGCTCCTCGCCGTTCGTCTGCACGCTGTAACAAATGTTCCTCGCAAAGTCGATCACGAACGCCGAGCAATTTTGTTTCTTGCACCTGCAACAGACGAATCGTTTCCGATCAGCGGATTTTTCGCGTCTCCACGCGGAGACCTCGGGATAGGCGCGAATGCGATGACCTCTTTCCCACAAGAGGCGTTTCTGACAGAGTCCACGATCACAGTACTAATACACCTGTGCATTATGTAACGTTGGAAACTGCCCGGCGAATGATCGATTAGCAATCGATAATTACCTGTTGAAACAGGGCGCGACGATACCGTTGTTTCCTACGGCATCGTTTCGATATAATGGGCTTTCAACAGAATTCGCTGGCTTGGCTGCGCTAACCTTCTCCCAACCCGTATCTTGATCTCGGCAGTTGTAGACGCATCCTGACGGGCACAAGTTTTATCACGATTATTTCATCGTTTGCGTTTATTTCGTTATTGTTGTTCTCCCGTCAATTCAGTCTCGCTGAAAAATCGAAGAGCATCTCCCCGGGCTCGACTGGGAGATCCCAGTAAATCCCAGTAAAAAAGATAACAAGTGAACATAACTGTGTAATCTTCAGGATAATCTCGCGTCGTTGAGAGTTCTGTCGCTCACCTGTCCTCGCAACGAGGCAGCAGATGAAAATCGTGCCGACGGAGCGCAGCATCGTCGTCGCTGTCACTTTTCACACTTCCGAGCGCGACGGAACAAAGTCGACCGCGAGAGACTACTTCAGCGATTCCCCGATAAACTCGATCAATTCAGCAACGGACATTCCCTGCCTCGCACCGATGATTCGATCACCTGCACGTGCAAATATTCTCATATAACAGCGTCGTGTCGCGCGTAAACGTACTGAAACGCGTACGCGCGTCATTAAATCGGAGAGTACGTTCCTTGTCCACTAGAGACCGGGTCTAATAGGACACTATGCGCACACGTTAACGACGTGTTTTTTCAGCGACCCGCTTCTTTCAAGGCTTCGAGATAATGCAACGTTTCTCAATAAGTGTGTTCACGTGCGTAAAGTCATGCATATCATTTCTCTCACGCTTTGGCTCTTATCTGTTAACATTGCGCGCATAAACGCACGATACAACTCACCGCGAAAACGGCTCGTGGAAAGAAGAGGGTTTTGTGCTAGAAATCGAATTTATTCTCCGCTCTGTAATTTATTCTCCGCACGCGGTGCACCAGCCGCAATTGTCTCGTACTTATGAAAACAGTGATAAAAATGCGCGATAAGTAAACCTAACGGAACGCGTCGGGAAGGCAGGCGATTCCACGTGAAAGAGATCTATTTTTCGATGAAGGTGAATTATATAACGAATTATATAAATCTCGTCGCTGGTAGATGAATCCGTGGGCCATGAGATCTATTTAAAGCGAGAAAATTATGCTTGCAAGAGAGCGACTGAAAACTGGTGGATCTGTGGCTCATTAGCGCGTTATTATTATATCTATGAAATCGACTCACGCTATTACGCAAACGTCGTCGTCCCGTCGCTCATCTCTCTCCCTCTCTCTTTCTCTCTTTCTCTCTCGTGACGATTATCGCACTTGTCTGGCATTCGAGGCGCATCGCCTCGACTGGTTGAAGCAACAAGGATCGCCGTGCATCCGCGACCTCGGCTTCACGTAATTCTCGACATCGTCCAGTTATCGTACGCTGGCGGAGTTCACTCTCGACGGACGTTTAGTTGTCGTTTCATGCACGAGAGCGAACAGAAAGCGAGATCGACCAGGCTGCCGTCCCACTAACCGATTGCGAGGCAGATCCGTAACGAAATGAAAAGCGATCGTCAGGCGAGCCACGGCGGCGGATACAACGTGGAAGAGCAGAGGGGCATATCCCCAGTCGCGCCATCCGCCCACCTGATCGAACGAACGATCGGATGCGCCTGGGAAAATACCGGTGCGCGCATCCATCCATCCATTCACCTGCCTTGAAAAAAACCTGTCGTGAAAAAAAAAAAAAAGAAAAAAAGAAACGATGGCGAGGCCGGCGAACGATTATCCGGTATGTCGAAGCTCTACGCTCGTCTGATTGCACGTTCACCGGCCGGTGACACAAATTCGGCCTTCGCCGTCGCTGTTATCAACGACGACGTGACATCAACGGCTCGATGTTCGATCAGCCGTGAAAGAAATATCTATCGCTTCGAAACGCATGTTCGCTCGCAGTTGGAACTATTATGGCTATTAGAGGCGTAACATTTGTAAAGATTGCCTGAGGAGATGCACGCACTGGTACGATAAATGCTCGTACGAGAAAATTTCGAACGACAAATATCTGATTATAGCTACGCAGGTCTCTTTTGTCCGAACGATAATCGAGATAGCGTTCACGACGGCTGTGGGTATTAACAACAAATTTCGTTTGCATTGTAATCTATGGAAATTACGACGAACGCTTATTTGCACACGATGCGACGCGGGATACTTTCTCGATGCACCTCCGATAGGCTTGAGCAGAAATTTGGTTTGAGGTAATGCATAACTCGTCCGGTTCTTTTATGCCGCGGAGCGCGCTAATTGTCCTCATCGCTCGATGAGATATATTATTTCAACGAAATAATGAGATCAGAGGAAAGCGTCGTGTCATTTGCCGCTCGGACAACCCGTAGCCCTTTGACGGACTTCTTCCCACGATGTCACAACAAGCATAATTGAATAAACATCGGAAGTCTATATCGATAGAGAACATCGAAACTCGCGTGTCCTTCGTTTTACGTAACTCGCTGGCATCGTTTACGCTCGTTGCTCAGCGGCGTATATCGACACGACGAAACGGAACGACCAGTGCATGCTTCGCAGCGAGAGATTTTTTACGAATATACGACGACAATTATTTGTCGCAAATATAATATTTACAATCGACTTTCCTTCCGTAAAGCTGCAGGTTAACAGTAGCTCGTGTCACCGAATCTGAACACGTCCGAAAAATACTCTTTCTCGTTGGCTCAAAAAGTTGGATGAGTTTATCAAGTGCTCACGCGTATATGAAGTAATCGAGAAGCGATACTTAATATTTTCTCTTTACAATACATTCCATTCTACGTTACATTACGCACTACCGGCATACCCGCAGCTCGGTGTGTCTGTTTCGAATTGACAAAAAATCGAGTTTCACTTTTGTTTAACGATAGAAATGTTAATGGGACGAAGTTAAAGTGAAAGCGAAGCGAAAAATGACACGTTCACGCGAATACAAGAATGAAGGTATTCGTTCGCAAAGAAAGAAAAAAGTACAAAAACGAGATATAAAGTCGACAGGCGAAAGTATCGAAATTTCGTTCGAATTATAGAGGTATTCATGAAAGCATCGAAGTTCATTGTTGCCTCACCGCGCCGAGCCTATCGCGACGCCCACCGGAACGGTATCCGCCGGTAATATTGCCGGTACTGACAGTGGAATACCGGAGTGCGAGCGTAATAGGAACAAACACGAATATCTTCGCTCTTTCCGTGTGTGTGTGTGTGTGTGTGTGTGTGCGGTTGTGAAACTTTCGCAACGCAAGTTAGCTTGGCCGGGCTTTGCTCGGTGAGAAGGTAATTTTTCAGCTACGAAATCTGCGAAACCATTTGACCATTTTGACGCATCGACTCGACCTTTGGAGAATGAAGACAATCGAATAATCGGATTACAGTTCTGTATATTGCAATAATAATGAGATATATTTTAACAACAAGTTGTTAAAAAGAATTGTACTTGACACGGAGAAGAGTTACGACGCATCTGCGGGATGCGCAATGCTCGAGTTAGTAATTCTGCAAATTGGACACGCGTGACCCGCGGCGTCACGTTATTTCGCTTATATATTTTACAGAAGTGTGCGTCGCAATTAGTGATCGTTGTTAATCGCTCGGTAGAATTAGCGCGTAAGAGTCTACTGCGATCTGCATCGCTTCCACAGGAAGACGTACGCCAGGAGATGGAAAACGGCGTAGATGCCTGCCATGAGGACGATATCGGTCCAAAAGCCGCCCTCGTCGAAGTCGTAGCGATCCAACACCTGCGAGCCCTCGGTTAGGCAAGGCAGTTCCGGCTCGCTAGTTTCGCAGGCTATTTGCGGAAGACAGAAATATGCATTACGCATTACTCCTGCGTGAGAAAAATGCGCGAGTAAATGTGCGGACGCATCGTGCAGTGTGATTGCGATGAGCTAACGTACATATATTATGCACGCCTCTCCATTGGATGATGGTGAGGGCTTCCGTCGAATGCAGCAGCCAGGAGAAATATTTCAACCATCGAACGTATATCGGCAGCGAGCTGCGAACAGACGTCAAGTGCAACGTATAAAGAGAAAAGAAAGAGAAGGAGTGACATGTTAAAAAGAGAGAAGTGATACGTCAGCAACGATAAATATGATTTATAATAATAATATAAATATAATAATATAATAAATAATATGATAAATAAATATAATAAATAAATAATAATAAATGTAATAATATAAATATGATTTATAAGAAATTGAAAAGGTGACTCCATTGAAGAATCGACTCCATCGGCAGGATAACAATAATCTAGACAACTATACACCTCAGCATCGTGTCGATAAGTACCTGAGTTTGACGAAAGGTCCCATGGTTATCATGAGAATATAGTCGAAAGGCACTAGATACGCCATCGCCAATGGCACGCTCTCATAGACGGCCGAGAAGAAACATCCTGCAACATGAAGTTTCGCTGAATATGCATGTACGGTTAATTGTTTATTTAAACGATACACTGAGCTGTGAAAACGTATGTTTCATCGAGTGAAAGATTCTGTACGGACATTTGCTTGTAATTTCCGGCAATCTTTTGTTCTTTATGCGGAACTAACAGAGTCCTAGGATTAGCGAAGCACTCACCGCAAGCGGTAGATACGTTCATGGTGAATACAACTACCAACAGCGTGAAGCCAAGAGCATCTATCGCAGGACGCAGTCCTGTTAGCCAGTATATTATGACGGTGAAGAGCACCGGTTCCACTAGCAGACCGGGTATCTGAAAGTTTCGACTCCGACAGGATAGCGCGAAGAGAATCGTCGGCAGCAAGCGCGATAACTGACGAAGAGAAACTTTACTCACTAGCGATATCATTCGCGCTACGTAGTAAAGATGAATCGAGTACATGCCCGCTCGGTATTCGCGGAGTAGAAGCGGCAGTTCTTGCGGGATCAACGCCAAGGTCGCGTACATGGGGAAGAAGGTGTTCTCGCACACCAGGATATATATGATACCCTCTGTAGCTTGAATGCCTAGTTGGTCGAGGTTGACAGCGCCTACGAAGCACAGGCCGGCGACTACCGCGACGCTCTACGACCCGAGAGAGAGAGACTTGTCGTTGGATCGTGATCGCACTCGTGCGCCAAACACTTTGGCGCTATTACTCACCACTTTTTGCAGGATCCTGATCGACTGCACCGAGGGATCGCGCAGGACTTGCAGGAACCCGCGGTGGATCAACCAGTACAACCGCAGCCAGCAGCACGGCTCTTCGCTGAAGAGAGATCGCGAAGAGGAAAGTTACTTTTCACGTACAAAATTCTTCTACTTTTGCTTCATCAGGCTAAACATCTTACAACTTTCTATATTGCTTCTATATTATTATTATGGAATTTTCAACAAATGTCGCGCATGATACTTACAAGACGCGCGATTTGCGGACGGAGTCCTTACACTGAAACAAGAAGATGAATTCCCTCGGTTTTTCAATGAGTTCTCTTCTCTTTCTTGTTTGGTAAATAGTACTATAATATTTGAAATTATAAGAAAATAGAAAAGGTTTCTAATTAAATTGAATAAATTAAAGTTTTTCATATAATTTGTAATGTAAATGATTGCTTGTTAAAAAATCAAAAAGAATGTTTTATTTATAGTACCTTTTGTATCAGGGTTTATAAAATAATATTTAAAAAATTTTGAAGTCTCGAAATTATAAAAGAGCTAATGAGCTAATCGTACACTTATCTTACTATTATCTCTCTGATTGCGCTTACAACGGACTGCGGACGAGCGATCTCGAGCTCCCGTTGCAGTATAACATCGATCTCGTTGCACGCTTCGCTCGTAAGGAAAGCGTCGCAGATCTTCTGGGCGGTTCTCCCGCTACCGTCCGCGTCGCCAGGTGCAATCGCCAGGGTCGCCACCAGGAAATCAGCTAGGTTGTAATTACGCGGGCACGTGTACCCCTGGCTGCAGAAATTGCAAGGATAGGTCTGGAGTGTACTTCCAACCCCTGAAGCTGTCGCGGTTCCTCCTGCGAGGGAAGTGCAGAAAACGTACCTGGAGAAGAACTGTACCGCTTGCGCGCTGGTACCCGCGAACGCCATCCTGCCGCCGGCCAAAAGGATTATACGGTGGAAACTATCGAAGATGACGGAGCTGGGCTGATGTATAGTGCACAGGATCGTCCGGTCTCTCGACGCGAAGGAGATCATGTGAGATACGAGGACGCTGGCCGAGTGCGCGTCTTGTCCCGTCGTCGGCTCGTCCAGGAACAGTATCTCAGGGTCTGTCAGCAGCTGGAGAGAGAAAGAGAGAAAGAGAGAGAGAGAGAGAGAGAGAAAGAGAGAGAGAGAGAGAGAGAGAGAGAGAGAACCGCGGAATAGGATGCAGGACGAGCAACTGACGCAAATTTGACAGATGCGCTACCTCAGTAGCGAAGGCCAGTCTTTTCTTCTCGCCGCCTGACAAGACCTTGCCGTCATCACCGCCGCCGATGCGGATATCGCGTCTCTCGGTCAGACCGACGTCCCTCAGCAGGTGATCGATCCTCAGTCGCACGTCCGACGTGTGGATCCTGCCGTCTAGTTTCATCCTAGCCTGAAACCATCGAGGTCGTATTCGTCGCGCAATCACGCTGATAATCGCGCTGGTCGTCGCGCGCTCATCGAAACTCACCATGAACCAGATGTGCTCCAGCACCGTCATCGTCTCGATGAACATGTCCTCCTGGTGCATGAAACCACTGTGACATCTCATGTACGACGACGTGGTCGAGACTCCGTCCACGTAAACGTCACCGTGCACCACGATGCCGGCTGCCAATTCGTAGAGAACAGAGAAGAAAACAAGCTCCCTTCTTCCGTTTGCTCTTTTTGCCGAACACGCGGTCGTTACGAAAAGCATACTTACGTCCCGTGCGAAACGCCAATGTCGTCATCAGCGAGCTTTTCCCGGCACCGCTGCGTCACCACGAGTCGGGGGTGCACAGGGGTGGCGGGGGGGGGGGAGGAGAAACATTCAGACACGTTATAATTCGCATTCAAGCTCGATCGGCAAGGAAACTCGAGATGACGCGCCAATTCAGCGGGCATTATGACGCGCGCGCATTAATTTCAAAACTAAGAGCTGTAATGATCAATCAATCGTGACTAACGGCGGAGTCATCAACTTACCTGCCCCCGAGGATCGCGGTGAGTTCACCCGGTAGTACCACACCCCGGACTGAAAAAGCGACGATCGAACGATCAGCGTCTTCTCGTCTCGAGTCTCATTCGTCGGATTAACATGCATTAGACATACCGCTGTTGACGAGCTGCTTGCTTATGGTTCGTCGGTTCCGGTCCATCGCGTAGACAGACAGGTGTTGCCAAGAGAGCGTGGCGCCTGTCGCACGATGCCGCGGCGCAGCTGACTCCGGCCTGACGTCGACGGCGTTCGGCACTTGATGCAAGATACGGAATCATCAGTGATCATAAAGCAAGAATCATCAGCAAATCGGAAATTATTCGCGAATCTTAAGTCACCGATTACCGCCGCGTGAAATCTAACGTGTATCCAAGACTTAATACCATCCAGCACCATGTTCTTCTTCTCCTGCTCTTCCTCCCCCTCCTCCTCTCCTTCTTCTTCTTCCTCCCTTCTTCACACCCCGTTGTTTAATCCCACGGTATTTCCGCGACGCGGCACGATCTTACGCCGTATGCAACCTAGGCCCGGACGAGCCGACTACGAGAAGATAATAAAAGATGAGATCCGACGAAACAGCCGGGCACTCGGTGCGCCACTGGAAGCTCAGAAGCGGAAGCCTTACGCGCGTATGTACGTGTCCAAAGGGTGAGAAACTGACGAGCCACGAGAAGGAGGATCGGTGCTAAGGCGAAAGAGAAAGAGCCGCCGCGCGCGCGCGCTTCTCACCGGCGCGCTGCCACCACCCGATGCACCTGATGCACTCTTCGTCCTCCCGCAAGCAAGCCTGCCTCCGCAATCGAATATCACGCGTAAGCAAAGCGGCGACACTGATTAACGCGCCGTGCACATCTGCGGTGTCAACGAACGCCGGTCGCCAATGTCGCGGGCTCGTCGGAGACTCGCTCGCGTCGATCGCGCCGATCGCGACGGATCCGCACAGCTGCAGTCGCGCGTTCTCCGCCGTGCGACTTATTGCGCGCGAATCACCGAGGTGCGGCGCGGTGTTCATCGGCTTTCGATTAGGGTCTGGCTAAATCGGCATCGCGACAATCACGCAGCCGCGATCGACCGCGATGACGATGGCTCGACTCGAACGTGAGATGCGTAAATGCGTCCAAGGTCCTCTTCGCCGCGTTCGAAAAATTCCCCGCCCTCCTCCGCCGCCGCCCCTTCGCAGTAAACGCTCTCGTGGTGCGAATATCGCGGTAATTGAGAAGCGAAACCCTATCCGTACGTCAACGAGCGGACGAGTGGCGAGTCTCTCCAGGCCGATCTGATTTCCCGCTGCTGGAATTGTCGCGCGCGCGACCTCTCGACGACCGAACGACCGCGGTAGCCTATTTTTCCGCCGCTTCCGTGTATATCGCGTGATCCGCCGGCCGGATCAAGGCGATTCGCCACTCGCTCGCAATCACCGGCGAGACGCCGATTGCCTTCGAGTCGGATCGGCGAAGACTCGAGCGAGCGCGGTCGCGATCGACACTTTCCTTTTCTGCGACGCCGCGCGCGCGCGCGAACGTTTCCCAGGTTTGTCTCTTATGTCCTATCGCACATGCGGTCGCACGGTATGCATGGCAACCGGTTTTGTAACGATATCCAGGCATACGCAGGAGCGTTCGGCGGGAGTACAGGAAACGCCGGCGCAGGGGGGCTGCGTAGCCCCGCGTGTTGTCTCGCCGGGACACGTTTCCTCGAGTTCCTATTACGTCGCCTTTCTGCGGTGAGCGCCCGTCAAGATCGATACACGACGTGACACATGAGGGCGAATGATTCGCGCCTAATGATCGCCACTCGATCGCCACTTCGAGCTTCCTTGCCTCGACAATTAATTCAGCCAGCCAGAGAAAGCCACCTCTTCGATCGGACTTACGCTTGAAATTATCTCGAGAGTCAATTAGCAAAGAGCGCGGCAGAGGGCGAGGGGGGAGGAGGGAAATTTCTCACGATTAAGATTAATTATTTATTGAAGGTACATCATACACATATACAAGGTAACGTTGAACCCGCGAAGCGAGGTTTCTTGTCGTCGGCGAGGCGACGATCGGCACTTCGGTCGGGTTACTTCGAACGGCGAGTCTTGGACAGCAAAGCGAGGAACGCCAGGAGGCGGAACGCCGCGATGAGCGAGAACAGGCAGATGATGTCTATCCAGAAATCGTCCACCTTGAAGTTGTAGGTCTGCAGAACCGTGCGCCCGGATCTCGGGCACGTCGTGTTGCTCCTGGTGCACTGAATGGTGTCGACCTCGGCCCACTGATTAATCAGCAGCGCCTCGTTGCCGTAACGGAACCAAGACAGGTAAGAGAACCACTCGAAGTAGGACGGCACGGATCTGTCGTGGACAAGAAAAGCTTCGCTCACCGAGCAGAAAATCGAACGAGTTTCTATCGATCGGCCTCTGCGCGAGATATGATACTCACGCTGTGTTGAGGAAGAAGCCACCGAAGAGCATGAATGGTATTATCACCGGGGGGCCGACGGAAAGGGCCATGGACACCCCGTTACTGATGCACGATATCAGGTAACCTGGGGAACGAGAAAGAGAGAGAGAGAGAGAGAAAGAAATAAAGCTAAAGATGGTTATTCAAAGGAGAGGAGAAAACGGGGGCTGGTGGACAGTCTCGATGTTACCGAAGGAAGTCGAGACGTTCGCCACGAGAGCCACTATGCCAGTGGCAATGAAGAAGTGCTTCATGTCCGGGTAGAGGCCGATCATCGGGTAAACGATGATGGTGAAGATCAACGGCACCGCCAGGAATATCGGCGCCTCCGCCAACGTCTTGCAGATGAAGTAGACGTCGGTGCGGTACATTCCGTTTCTGTGCTCGCGGAGGAATATCGGCAGTTCGGCGCAGAAGACCTACGTACAGAGCGCATAATTCGTGTACTCTCTCTTGTTAAATTGAAATCATGCATGAACGCGCGACTCGACTTGTAACTGCGAGCTGCCGCGCAAACTACTTCTAGCCCGTTCTCCTCGTTTTCGCCGTTAGAAGGAGAGACGCGCAATTCAATTCGCACGCGGTTTCTCTCTTCACTCCGCTCACGTTAATAACCGCGAAGACGTTCTGGAAGGTCATGTTGGTGAGGAAGATGAACAGGGCGCCGTTGATATTCATCACGCCGTCCTGGTCCATCCGTTGGCCGAAGTAGATGACGCCGATCAGCAGCGAAACCATCTGCGACATAAATGACAAAGGTTGTTGTCCCTCTCTCGTCTCCTCTCGCCCGCACTTGCGATTGTCGAAGGGTAACGCACGATCGTCTGTAAGAGGCGGACTTTGATGAGGATCGGTTCCTTGATCACCGACAGCCAAGATCGCCACAGAACCGCGCGGAATTGCTCGCACCAGGTCGCCTTGTAGGGCGAGCCGCTGGAACGCGGCTGCTTGAGCCCTCTGAGGGAGTCCTCGAAGTCGCCGTGGACTGCCTCTGCCTCGGAGGCGATCTTCATGCCGTAGTCGCTTGTCTGAAAGGCGTCGCACGTCGTCTTGATCGCGTGTCTGCAGGTCAATTCGCGTCCCGGTACGATCGCCAACGTTTGCACAAAGTAGTCCGCGGGGTTGTAGTTGCTGGGACAAGCCGCGCCGAGCCTGCGGACGATAGCGCGTGTGGCCACGATGAAACTTATAGTCTAATGAAGACTTTCTGAGGGCAAAATTACGTTTACGAGCTGTGACTCTCTTAGCTCTTCTTGCCCCCTCCCCCTTCCTGCGCATAATTGGAATCAAGTTCCTCGATTGAACTTACGTCTTGAAGAAGGAACAAGCTTGCGAGGAGGTACCCATGAAGGCGACCCTTCCCTCGGCCATCAGCAGAATCTTGTCGAAAAGAGCAAAGAGCTCGGACGACGGTTGATGAAGAGTGGCGATGATCGTCTTACCACGTGCTGTTGTAATCGTTCGATCATTAACTTCGGTCGTTCGAGGCCTCCGTCTCGAGAAAGCCTCCTCTGCGCTGGCACGTCATTCTTACTCACCCGCCAACGCCTTCAAGATGGAAACAACCTGATGAGCCATGAAGGAGTCCAAGCCTGACGTCGGCTCGTCGCAGAACATCAACGGAGGATCGGTCAGCACCTCAGAGGCGAAGGATAATCTCTTCATCTCTCCTCCCGAGAGACCTTTCACCTTGCCGGCTACGCCGATTATGGTGTTGCGACACTTGGACAGAGCCAACTGCTCTTCCAAGAAGCAGAGAACAGAATGAAGTATGACAGCACGCGTCAGGTGATACGATGATGGAGTTTTACCTCTTCAATGACCTCGTTGACTCGCTTGATCCTCTGATCGCGGGGTATTCGCCGGTCCATCTTCACCATCGCCTGGAACATCAGGTGCTCCACCACGGTGAGCGTGCCAATGAACAAATCGTCCTGCTGCACGTAAGCCATCATTGAGGTCAGCACATCCGGCGATACCCTTTGACCGTTGGCGGCCATCAGGCCAGTCGCGGACATCCCGCGCACTGAGCGGAAAGTCAGCGTGTTCAGCAGGGTGGTCTTGCCGGCGCCTGACGCACCCATGATGACGAGCAGCTCGCCGGGATTAGCCACCCCGCACACTGAAACGTATTTGCGCCGAAGACCAGTTCCGATCAGTACCAAAATCCGATCTCGAGATTCTTTCTTTCGTGTACATTTCTAATACGTCGTCGTGTGCAAAACACGAAGGAAGGATTCTAGCCTTGGGTGGAATCTTTCATCGTTAAACTCCGCCGAAAGGAAGAAAAGAAAAGAAGGTCCTTTCTTTTGCAGATTTGCGGGGGCGCATCGAGTCGGGAGAAGCTAGCGCAAACTGCTGAGTGACTTTCTACCACGTGAGTGTGCTCAAGGTTTCAAAAGTACAGTGAGGGAAGTTGCAATTTTTTCATCTATACCATCCTCCAGTATATGTCTCTGCGCGACAGGTTTCCTCGGCCTGAACGTCACCCGGTCCCAGATCCTGTCGCTGTTCGCGCTGACGTACACGTTCACGTCGCTCCACGTGTACGTGATCTTGTTGATGGCGATCTCATGGTTGAAATGCACGCCTGTCGGCACGTTTGAGATTGGCTTCAAGTTAAACGAGGCCTCCGGGCTTCCATCGTGCGACACATTTCTTTCGTTTTTTTCCTACAACAATCACAGACATATCTCCTGGATTCGCCCTTTTATTCGAGCACGTAATAGAAAAGATTTCAATACGACTGCTGTGAATAAAAGTGGCAGTAAGAATATGGCAGAAAGTATGGAATAATAACGAAAGGAAAACATTGCAAATGTATTCACTGAAGTATTTCTCCTTATATAACATTGAAGCGATTACTACACGTTGCTGGACAAGACAACCCTGTTAGAAGTAATCGGAGGGTTGAAACGAAGCCATGTCGCGGTCGCAGTCTCGTATACTGGATTTGCTTTAAGGAAAGTTTAAAAAGGAGAAGATATATGTGGCAGAGAGTAAAATATCCGAAGCGAAAAAAGTGCGCACAAAAATTATGCGCGCGCGCGTGTATGTGTGTGTGAACATGAAAAAACAGATTTCTTTCTCGTTAAAAATGACCTCAACTTCAATCTCGATTCACTTCGCGCAATGACACACGTACGAACGTGATCACCGCTTCTAATATTTCTACGTTTGGAAAAGCGCAGATTTCCTTTACCGCTCGATCTTTACACGTCGAAAAGGCACTGACTTCGCGACTCGACTGTCACAGGACTCGCGCTCCATTCATTCGTACTCACGAAAGAAATCGAATGATAAGTGACTCTCTGGATTTTATGAACAGACGACGTCTGTGGTGTTGTGGATATCAACGGCTCCGTCTCCTCGGCAGCCGTCATTGTACTCGAGGTAGCTTCACGTAGCTTCTCCTCCCGTCCGCTGGTCTTCGCGAGGTCTCCCGACAAACTCTCCCGCTTCCACAGCTGACCGCAGAGCGACAGATCGTCCGTAATTTCTAACAGCACATGCAGAAGGTGTTCTCTTCTCTCTCGTTTCTTGATATTCACCACCAACCCCCTCCAAACTCGATTGCGGTTGAATACAGATGTAATAAGCAAGAATTTCGAAATTGATTTTATTTACAACAGACACTGACCGAGAAATACAGACCTACGTATGCATTGTACAAAATTACATATTTCGATATCGTTGCGGGAAAAAGGAGAAAAAAAAAAGATAAAAATTATCCGACGTTAGGAAAGAAACGATGGCGAAAGCGGCGCGCGATTTTATTGCCCGATAGCGAAAAGTCACGTTCAATGAGATCGCACGAACAGCCGGGTGTCGTCCTCCACCTCGTACGACGACGTACAACGCGAGAACGCGCGCGAACGCCTATCTTGAAATGTGCGTGATGCGGTGCATAAACCACCGTGCCCATGATATATGTGCGTGCGTGTATATCGTGATACGTGTATGTATGTGTATGTGAGTGAGTGTGTGTGTGTGTGTGTGTGTCGCGACGTCCCTCTCTCCGTCGGTTCCCCGTTGACATTCGCAGCCCTATCCGTGCCGGTGGGGTCTGACGGATCTGCATCGTATAGAATCGAGCGCAAGACTCGAGATACAAAAATCCGCACGAGACTTTTCCCCCACGGGGATACATACGTGTGTGTACAGTATATATACGTATATATGTATAATATTATATATAAAGTTTTCGCGTCCTTTCACCGCGAAAACGCGAATTCCATTCCGTTCTCTTTCTTTCTTTCTTTTTTTTTTAACATACGAATGACGCAGTAAGAGGATGATATGAATGCAGCGTTGGCGCACAGTCTGCAACGTTGTTTACTTCTCCTATATAGTGCGTAATTAGAGATCATTGCCTTATCTTACACGTGAGCGCGCGTACGTTCGATCGAGAGTGTCGTTATTTTTCTTTTTCTCCCGCCTTCGTAAGCGCAAATTCCTCCGTTTCTTTCGCGCGCAGAACATATCGCTGATATATATATATATATATATATCATATACATACATATACATACATACATATATATATATATATCGTGGGCCCTACTAATAATTCGACTATCGCTAGTAATCGAAAAAATTGCATAGCACGCGCGATAACGACGATAGAAAATCACCCGACGTCACTAGCATGAAATGTTGTTCCTCTATTAAATAAGAAAATGAGCCTTCGTACATATACACATACACGTCATGTAAGAAAAATATTCTCGATTAAGGTAGGCATATCTATATACGAGTCGGTCATTAGTTTACAGGTGTTCGCACAATAATCGCGTTCGTTCGCAATGAGAGCAATTAGTAACGGTCACTTTGATCGAGGCCGCGCCAAGCCGATCGTGTTCTCGACACGGTGATACTTTTATCGAGGCAGGGCGGGGCGGAGGGGAGCGGGGGTGAAGGATGTCGCGACCACACGTGCAGTTTCGCGAGATAAATATTGCTTTGGATTATCACACTGTCATCGCTGATGGTGTGTGCGAAAAATCAAGCGTTATACATTACCCGCTACTGAAAGAACGATCGTCCAATTCCTCGTCGCCTAATACAAGTCATTAAATAACGTCGCGGCGCAGTCTGTTCGTCCACTCTACATCGTACACTCAACGAGTCGATCGGTCGGCAAACGTGATGTGTGACAAGAGTATCTACGGCGTAGGATACCAATTTAGGTCGGTTTCCTTTTTTTATTTCATCATTTGTACAAGCAACCTCCGTTCGAAGGGGGTGGTAAGATTCTCACGGCTTAACGATACTCCGCGCGTTCATCATTGCAGGTTCTCGAAGCGTTGGAAGATGTCTTAAGGCCGTGGCACACGCAAAAACTGTAAGCAGCAAGCAAATTGATGGATTACACAGTCGATTATTCTTCCTAAGTGATCGAAAGTGATCGAGCGCGCTTGGTAAGTCAGTCCGCTCGCTGCTTACGTTTCCGTGTGTGTCATTCGGGCGAATCGGTATCGTTCAACCTCAAGTGATCACGAAGGAGCAAGTTAACGAGACAATGACTGCGTGTCGACGGTGTGCCCTCCGAGCGCTGTCTTGAACCAAGCGAATTAAACGGTAAGATAATGCGCCGTGTCTTGTGGGAGACGATGATATGTACCGTACGTTCATCGTTAAGAAATGTAACTAACTGTGAACGTAGGCACCTAGACTGCTTTTGCCCCGTGGCTAAACAACTCCGAGGAAAGAAAAAGAAAGTAAGAGTACGAGTCTATCGCATGTATATTAGAGCTACTATTCTCTAGATCACCTCTCGATAGCACCGCAGACGCGACGTCCGCTGGACGCTAGTGACGTTCGCTTGCTTCTTTTTGTTTCTTTTCTTTATGCAGTCTTAATAGTATACTGGTTACGGCCGCCGGATTCACCCTTCGACGACGAAATAGTCGCAGCGAAAACGACGACGGCTTTTGTTCTATCGCAAATCGCCTCACGGCTATGTCGTGGCTCGCTTATTTACAGGCAAACTGCTCAACGTCTCATGAGCGTGCGTCTCGACATTGTAAGAATGCGACATGTTCGATACCCCGTCGTGACTGCAACTATGAGTACGTAGACCCTTAAATCGGAAATTAATCTATCGCATCTGTACGATTACGGAATTGGTGTTCACGTCGTCTTATTGTTCTTGGCCATGTTGTGCGACGCCCAGTTTAACGATGTTTTCCACGAGTTGCAGAGGGCCTCGTCGAACTTACTTCTAAAGTGCTTTTGTGCTTCATTCTCTGACATCTCCAGGACCTGCAAGGATACGAGGTATTCAGCATGAAAGCCGAATGTCTCGGTTGTTCGGCTTGAGAGAAGCGACACTTTCGTTATCGATCCTCTCGGCATAATGCGCTGCTACTTTTACAGCAATACGTACCAAAGTGTCCCTGAGATAATTCAGATCTTTCTCCGACGAGAGTTCAGGCAGTCCGGTGGATATCATCATGGCGAATAGAGACAGTATAAGTCCACCATGTTGCCGCAGGACGAGGAAGGCTTGCTCGCAGTGACTTTGAAATCTTTGAAATTCGACCGCGTGACCCTTTTTCGTCTGACCTTTATTTATGACGTGTACGAAGTCATTGGTTAGAACGAAGGGCACGCGCTCACGCCTGAATCCGAATTTCTCCTTGAAGTGGCCCAGGATATGACCGAAGTCGACGTGAAACAGTTGTCCAGTCTTTTTAACCATTATGTTGTCGGAATGCCTGTCGGCTATCCCGAGAACGTAGGTCGCCACGCTGTAGCCGGCGCAGCTCAGCGTGAACTCCTCGATAGCCTTGTTCAATGCCGCTTCCGAGTGATTGTGATCTTTCAGCCATGCCAATAGAGAGCCTCTCCTGAGCAGAGAATAAAAGAAGACGATGAGAACTTTGATCATATCGCTGACGCTCATGTAACGCGATATGCCATACCTGAAGGCCGCCGTCGCTGAGAACGTGCCCTTTTCTTTCTGAATGTTTGCGATCGTCTCCGCGTTCAACACCACTTCTATCATACCGACTCTGCTCTCCGTAGATATGCAACCGTACGGATTCATGCGTAAGTCCAAACCTTCCTTCTTCCACAGCTTGTCCATGATGCGTAGCATCT